AGGGATGCAGCGGTTTCGGGGCCACCCTCCCCTGTTACTCAGAGCTGCCTGGGTGACTGGCACGATGCGGCACTGCCTGGCATCAGACCAGAAAGCAAGCCTTGGGCACCTCCACATCCCCGAGTGCTGAGCCGGGATGGCGGAGCAGGGGCGTCCGGCTCCAGGGTCCGCTCTTACTGGCACTTGCGGCCTCGGTTCCTGAGGAACCCCAGACGCCTGGCCTCCACAAAGGGACACGTCTCCGCGAAATGACGGGCTGGCCACCCGGGAAGGCGCCTCCAACCATCGCTCCGCTGAGCTGGCTGCGCTCGTCCCGAAAGGGGACCCGACTCACCCCGCCGCGCGCCTCGATGACGTCACACCACCTATTGGGATTGGCTGTCGCTCTGCCCCGCCTCCGGCGTGCGTCCCAGTGGGGCAGGGGCCAGTGGGGGACAAAAGGAGCTCTGCCCGCCTGACCCTATGCTCGGGATTGCAGAAGAGGAAGCCAGGTCCTGGAAGTTGGAAATGGAGGTGGGGGCGCCTTGAGATCCCCCAAAAAAACTGCCAAGCCCCACACTCAGAAGGGACCCCCTGTGGCCCCAGCCTGTCCTGTCTTGGGCTGAACCTGTGGGACTGTCCAGCGGGGCTGGGGCTGGGGCTGGGCAGCAGCGCTGTCTAGTGCCTGCCAGGGTGGGAGCCAAGACTATCCAACTAGTTCAGTTAATTAAGACCAAACGGCCGCACTCTAGTTCCAAACAGGCTGCATGTTTGGGCTGACTTAACACCTGCCCCCAGCCCGAGCACAGCCACTCAGACCAGGGCAATGACATCTCCAGGTGTCAGGTTGGGGGCCTGGAGCAGGGCACCTCGCCTTTGGGAAAGACTGAGAGAAGCCAGTCTAGAGAGCTTACAGGTGGGATCTGAGGAATAGCTCTTGAGGGAAAACCACAGGCCAGGCTGCCACAGGCCTTAGGCCACCAGGTGGTCAGGGTTAGCTGCAGTCTGAGAGCAGCATCCTTCTTCACAGAGGGCTGCAGGGAGCTGGCGCAGAAACTTCTGAGTGGGAGACTACAGGCTGAAAGAATCTTTAGCTAGATGCAGATGGAGGAGGCTGTGCCTGATCCTGGCCCGATGCTCCAAGCATCTGGTAGAGCCAGACATCCATTCACTCCCGCAGGTAGAGGGGGGCTAGGGCAGACCCAGTTCTCCATAGCAGTCCATGGGTGGGCGGGAGAGGCACCACAATGGGCAGTTCCACCTGGGCTCCAAGTCGGGCAGCAGCTCTGGGAGGGCCACCATGGACAGGTGATTGCCATAGAGGTCAAGGTGATGGAGGCTGGTGCAGCAGGTTAGGCCGGGCAGCATGGTCAGTAGCTGGGTGCTCAGCACCTCCGGCTTGGTCAGCTCCTGCAAAAGGCCCTGGGAGGGTGCCAGCAGGTTCCGCTTCTGGAGGTGGGGAGCTTGGGGGTGCCTCAGTCAGAAAAGCCAATGCCAAGCTTTCCCAGGTGCTGGCAAGGGTGGCCTTAAGGTGGAGGGGCGGTTCACCTGAGCAGCTGGCTCAGAGGCTCCAAGCGCACCGAGAACCTCCCTGGAAGCACCCCACCTGAGCTGGGAAGTAGAGGCATCTGTCCTCACTCTCCAGAGAGCTGCCTGGGGCAGTGCAGGCAGGGCAGCTGCAGGGTGGCCAGGTGTTAGATAGACATGGGCCTCGGGCCAGCGATGCCCAGGCTGCTGAGGCACAGGTGCACAGCACAGAGCAGCTGGCACCGAACAGCTACCGAGAGGTCATCCAGATGTGCATGGGCAAGCACTCAGCCCCCATCCCAGTTGTCCTTGCTGACAAAGAGCGGGTCCCCTCCAGGGACCCCCTTCAGTAAGAGAGGTCCACACACGTCCATTCAAACCTCTGGCCAGGTGGGTGCTGGTCCCAGCCACAGTGCAGTCCCATCTGCCCCATCTTGACACCCTGGAACCCCAGCGTGCTGAGCACGTGGAAGTCCCCTCCTGTGGGGCAGGAGCTTGGAGGTGGGTGAGCACAGAGACCCAGCCCTCCCAGAACTCACCTTGAGGCAGAAACCGCATCACTGCTCTGACATTAAGCTGCTAACATCAAAACCCCAACCTGCAACCTCCTCAGAGGATCCTGCCTACACCCAGCCCACCACTCAGTCTCAGAACCCCCAGTAGGTCTATCTCTGCACAGCCTGGGCCTCAGGGAAAGCCCCTGGACCACGCCCTCTGCACCATCCTTGCTGGGCAACAGCAACAGCAGTTGCTGGACACTGGGCCTCAGGAGGGGCAACAGCTCACTCAGCACAGGAATTTTCTGGTCCATGGAGGGCACTGTGGCCAGCAAGGGGTGGGGGACCTGGCAGTTGGCTGGCAGACACTGGAGCACCTGCCTTGTACTGAGGCATGCCAATGTGTTCATAGTACTGGCTGGGGGCTGGCCACCTGAAGGGTCTTCAGTGGGAGGGCAGACTTGACCGTTAACCTAGCCACAGCCTCTGCAGGCACCAGTGGTGCAGCAGCCTAACACAGTGCCCGGCCTGGGGCTGATGCCTGGGGGAGGCAGCTGGGGTTCTACCAGCCCAGGGCAGGGTGAGCAGGAAGTGGGCTGTAGCTGTACCCCAGCCTCTGTCCTCCTGGAGTACAGGGCTCTCAAAGGACTACACACTGCTTCAACAGTACAAGCGACAGTGGGCTAGCTCCTGTCCTGCCCATGCCAGTGACTGCTGGCTGCTCTGCTCCCCAGGGCCACCGTACAGACCTCCAGTGTCCGCCAAGTCACAGTCCTATCTCAGGAGCACTTCCTCCCTCCACAGTAGAATGAAATCCAGACGGCCACCCGGTCCCCACCCCAACATAGGCCCCTTGGTCAGTGCTCACCCCTCACAGGACCTCTGCCGGTCACCCTTGGGCCCCACACAGCACAGCAGCTGACACAAGAGTCCAAAACCTGACAGGCAAAAAAGATAGGAGAAAGACCGGGTTTGTCAAGGGACCTCCTGTGAAACCAAAAGTCCACGATACCAGCAGCAGCTCTCGCCAGGTCACCTAGGCTGTCAGGGATGAAGACTCCGGGGCATCAACAGCAGGAGTGAAGCCTACTCCCCCAGACATAGTCCTTGTCATGTCCCCCTAGCTCCTCTTCTCTGGGAACCAATGTCGAGAAGCCAACTCGTCCCCACAGACAGGACGCCAGGCCCGCCCTTCCTCAAACGGGGCTGGGTTGGCTGGCCTGAAGAGAGTCAGGGATGCAGCGGTTTCGGGGCCACCCTCCCCTGTTACTCAGAGCTGCCTGGGTGACTGGCACGATGCGGCACTGCCTGGCATCAGACCAGAAAGCAAGCCTTGGGCACCTCCACATCCCCGAGTGCTGAGCCGGGATGGCGGAGCAGGGGCGTCCGGCTCCAGGGTCCGCTCTTACTGGCACTTGCGGCCTCGGTTCCTGAGGAACCCCAGACGCCTGGCCTCCACAAAGGGACACGTCTCCGCGAAATGACGGGCTGGCCACCCGGGAAGGCGCCTCCAACCATCGCTCCGCTGAGCTGGCTGCGCTCGTCCCGAAAGGGGACCCGACTCACCCCGCCGCGCGCCTCGATGACGTCACACCACCTATTGGGATTGGCTGTCGCTCTGCCCCGCCTCCGGCGTGCGTCCCAGTGGGGCAGGGGCCAGTGGGGGACAAAAGGAGCTCTGCCCGCCTGACCCTATGCTCGGGATTGCAGAAGAGGAAGCCAGGTCCTGGAAGTTGGAAATGGAGGTGGGGGCGCCTTGAGATCCCCCAAAAAAACTGCCAAGCCCCACACTCAGAAGGGACCCCCTGTGGCCCCAGCCTGTCCTGTCTTGGGCTGAACCTGTGGGACTGTCCAGCGGGGCTGGGGCTGGGGCTGGGCAGCAGCGCTGTCTAGTGCCTGCCAGGGTGGGAGCCAAGACTATCCAACTAGTTCAGTTAATTAAGACCAAACGGCCGCACTCTAGTTCCAAACAGGCTGCATGTTTGGGCTGACTTAACACCTGCCCCCAGCCCGAGCACAGCCACTCAGACCAGGGCAATGACATCTCCAGGTGTCAGGTTGGGGGCCTGGAGCAGGGCACCTCGCCTTTGGGAAAGACTGAGAGAAGCCAGTCTAGAGAGCTTACAGGTGGGATCTGAGGAATAGCTCTTGAGGGAAAACCACAGGCCAGGCTGCCACAGGCCTTAGGCCACCAGGTGGTCAGGGTTAGCTGCAGTCTGAGAGCAGCATCCTTCTTCACAGAGGGCTGCAGGGAGTTGGCGCAGAAACTTCTGAGTGGGAGACTACAGGC